CCCTAAAAACGAGGATTTTTTAGACTTATACAGCTGTGTTTATGTGAAAAATAAACTCAATTTAACAAAAGGACAACGGCACCCCCTGTTTTGTCAAATGCGCATAAGTGAACTGATTTTGTGGTTTGCCAAACTTGTTTTTCAAAATGCTCATCAATTCCATTAAAACGCATATTTTCTATGAACATATCTCGAAACTCATTTCTTTCCTTAAAGAATCGCATTTTTATGCAAAGATTACGAGAAATTATCAAAATTTCTGGTCGAAAACGTGTAGTTAGATTAAAAACTATAGTCTTTCCCATGCAATCATCTCAATTTTCATCCTTTTGATGAAAATTTGTCTTTTTGAAGTGGGGGGTGATCGGTGCCATATCACACGAAAATTGTCGAGACAACTTTCCATCATTTATTCTGGTGCACCCGTTGCGAAGCATATCTTCGTAGCGGTATAGATTTCATACATGAAAAGATTTTGAAATAAACTCTTTTATGAGTTTTCGTTTATTACCAATGAAATAGAATCTTTATAATTCTCGTCTATGTACGAAAATGAAACTATTTATTGATAAAAAAGAAAACAGTACGATGGTGACAAAATGTTCTTTTATGGAAATCCATCTAAAGTATTCCATTCAATTCAGGTAGTTTTATCGATGAAGAAATTCATTTTATTATTTATCCAGTATTGCATTTTCCAATCTCGACCTATACTTAATTCTCGTCTCTCTTTTTTTTCGCATATTCTGATCTCAACTAAATTCTCTTGTCAACTGTGACATATACTTTCCACATAATGAATATCTAATTATTACTTCGTTTACTATTCTCTAGCCAATAGTATAGTTTTTCCTTTATGTAGGAGCGAACAAACTGGTCTCTTCCTTCGCTTTCGTCTTGATTTTTTAAAACACCATTGATGCTTTTTCATTCTACATTTTGTACTAGTGCAACAATTCAAAGATATTCTTTCATATTTTATTCCCAAAAGAAGTTCATATATCACGTGTTCATCATAGAAAGAAAAGTCAAAAAAGGTTCACAATTTTCCCTGTGAAGAAATACAGAATCAGACATCATGTTTTCTGTGTTACCACGGGATAAAATTAAGACCGCACCATAACTTACCTCACATCTCTTGTAATTGGCTCACATTCATTAGTTTCAATCTTCTTAACTCTTTGTACATATATAATCCCAAACGTTTTCGATCGGATTCATATCTGGCGAGTTGCTGGGGCATTCCAAAACATTGGTAATGCTTCTTCGATAAGTTTCACGTACGCAAGACCGTTCAAACGTCCGGTATAAATAGTAAGTGGACTACGAGCACCACCAGACATACAGCCCCACACACTTACAATCCCACCGCCACCTTGAACATTCGGAACGAAATTGAAGGGTCCATTTGATTCTGATTTCAATCGACGAACTAAGGTACGATTTTTTCTGTTCAACTCCTCGAAGTGTGTGCTTCATTCCTCCAGATGATATTTTGCCATTTTTTAACCAACGTTTAGTCGTATAGCATTTATAACCTATATTTATCAGCTGATAACATTTGACTAGATATTTTTGAGACACATTCAACTGCCTAGCAATATGTTGCTGTCCAAAATCATTTCCAATAGAGATTGCAGCTCGGTTTTCTTTTCATGAGTTACTATGCCTCGTCCCATGATTAACCAAGAGAAATGACGCGATAAGAATTTTCAATAAATCGAACAATGGATACGAAGTAAATAAATTCTATCGAGAACATTTGTGTTTACTTAACGAATCGAAATTCTCCTATTAAAACTGATAGATGTGACAAGAACGATTGAATATATGGCTACTGATCCTATATTTATTCACAGGGAAAATTGTGAACTTTTTAAACTTTTCTTCCTACGATGAACACGTGATATATGAACTTTTTCGGAGTAAAATATGAAAGAAGNTGAGCGAGTGGTAATGTTTGGTTCGAAGTGATGAAAAGAGGTGAACAGAAGTGTCTTGAGAGTTGTTGGTGTGTGATGTGATGTTGGATGAGGTGAGCGAGTGGTAATGTTTGGTTCGAAGTGATGAAAAGAGGTGAACAGAAGTGTTATAAGGAATGTTGGTGTGTGATGTGATGTTGGATGAGGTGAGCGAGTGGTAATGTTTGGTTCGAAGTGATGAATACGAGATTTGTGTGATTTTGAATCGTATTTCGGCGGCTTTCTTCGAGTGTACTTCAGAAAGTGTTCTATCGGTACATTATAATGTGCAATAAATGCTCGATCTTTGTTTTCGGTGGTGTGGGGAGTTTTTGTGTTGCGGTTGTAGGGCCTCCTAGCTGTATAAGAGTGGATGATTTAGTGTAGATCGAGTCGTTTTGTGAAGTGAAATACTTTTGCGTTTCGGAGGGTTGAAATTCGTGCATATTTGTAATTTTATTGGGGGACGTAGTATTTATTCGCTCTCGACCATTTTGGGTCCCCAAGGAGTGTCGCCGATATAGCTGTGGAGGGGTATATTTGAGCGGCGCAATCTCGAGGATAAGAATCGATCGATATTTGATGTTTTAGTTTGTTAGTGCTACCGGCACAACGCGTAATGTAATATGCTTGTGGGTGGACGGAATGATAGACGGCGATATGGAAGCAGGCCCTAACGAGCCACGATTCGGCTTAATTATACAATCTAATCAGGGCACTATTACTGTATAATTATTTTTCTTGACGACTGCGGCTCATGTCACTTTTCGTAGCGGAAAGAGAATTTTCCGACGTATTACTCCTCGTGACCGCAGGGCGCGTAGTGAGGCGCCATCTGCTTCATACACATGTTTCACATGAGAGGCTACTGTAGTATCAGAACTCTTCGACTACAGCGAAAATCAATTCTGTACTATCTTCTGACATGAATTCGTAACAGAAATTGTCGAAAGAAAGTAGCACTTTTCCGAGCGGCAGGGGGCTCCGCCCCCTGACCCCCGGGGTAGGGGGCTTCGCCCCCTACATACCCCCAGTGGGGACGTGCTGTGTACACATAGACGCCTACTGTTGTTTCGTTCTCTAGAAGCGCTTTTTTAGTTTAGATGAATTTTTATCGAAATCCCAACTCAATGAAAGTTTACTCCGGTTATTATTCAAGCATTTATTTCTTCTAAAAAACCAACGACATAGGCTAGTTCATTGTTTTTCCAGAAAACATCACATTCACCCACGCACATTATCGTCACACAAACACGCATAAAACAGTTCACCTCTTTTCATCACTTCGAACCAAACATTACCACTCGCTCACCTCATCCAACATCACATCACACACCAACATTCCTTATCACACTTCTGTTCACCTCTTTTCATCACTTCGAACCAAACATTACCACTCGCTCACCTCATCCAACATCACATCACACACCAACAACTCTCAAGACACTTCTGTTCACCTCTTTTCATCACTTCGAACCAAACATTACCACTCGCTCACCTCATCCAACATCACATCACACACCAACAACTCTCAAGACACTTCTGTTCACCTCTTTTCATCACTTCGAACCAAACATTACCACTCGCTCACCTCATCCAACATCACATCACAGCCGAAAATGCTCAAGTACAGGTTGGGCCAACTCTAAATTCAACGATGATGGCGGCAGACAGTGATGGTTTGAAATATGATGAGAGCTCCGTTAACTGCGTAATAAGCGGACAAGTGTGATCAGAGTCGCATTCGTTTAGATCGTTGGGCGCTAAGATCAGTTCAGCATATGATTCACTTGATGGTGATCACATGGCATTTGAACATAGTAAAGTACAGCTTCATTCAAGTACTGCTACTATTTTTACTATGATAGATACAGCTGGTCTATGCATTGCGGGAATCATGACTAATGAATGATCGAAACGTTTGTGAAATCGTTCCCAATAACTCTATTCGCATACATCTTGGCCTCCCCTTTAATTTCAGTAAATGTCGCCCATCAAGTGAGAAATGCGTGAGACATGAACGACTTGGAATTTTATTTTTTTCTGTTCAATTTTCATTCACATCATTAAATGAAGATGAAACCTATTGATGTAGATGAGATATCAGGTGATTGCTGAATTATCATGATCCCTCCAAGTTTTCCAGTCATTTTTACTCCAATTCTACTGTTCATCTATTTCATAGGGAGTGGAGTGAAAGTTGTATGGGATTACGGTGTGCAACGATAATGCTGTAATCGGGTGATGATAATTGCCCGCATTGATCTATTCACTTCTACATCGGATCACCTATTGATGGTTCTGAGTCACCAAGTTGATCAAAGTTTGCATAGCGAATGAATTATTTCTATTACGCATCCAAGACAAATCGGCCACATCATTCTGTTCATGTATGCTGTATTAATAGAAGTAGAAATCGAAGGAAACTGAAATGTCTAATGATCGTTACTTAAATGAACAATTATAATTACCAGTGTATTTTGTAGATATACTGTGTCTGTTGGTTTTCGGAGTAGATCCATCCAAGAGTTGATTAGTGTTCCTGTGTTTGATGAACGGTGCAAATAATACCAGTCAATAACCGAATCATTTATTATCGTATTCGTTTAAGCGAATGCTTGATGTTGAGCCGTTGATTTCAGGTTAGAAGAAACATGAATACTTTGAACGGCATTTTCCACAGGTGGCACAACCATTCCATTCCATAATGTTATTCACCAAAACTAAAAGTAATTCACACATAACATAAAAACGAAACTTTATGGCTGTTGAATAATTTCTAAGATGATAATATTCATAAATTTTCTGTTTTCGTCTTTCGTACTGAAAAGTGCTCAAACAGGTCGAATCTCGTGTGAAATTGGAACGATTGGAACGACCTTTATCATTCCATCCACATAAATGAAAGTCGAAAATGTCCAAACCGTGCCACATTTGCCTGTGAAACAATCATATGGTAGATAAATAGTTGTGACAAAAGTCCTAGTCCGTTACTTTGCTCTATGTGAGTTCAACGCTTGGAAGTATCATGTTTATCAATCATCCTATGAAAAATGAATAATCTTGATATTGTTCCTTGAAATCACCTGGTACAGCGAATTCTGCTTTTTCTAAATGATAATTACAAGTATTTAAATTGGTATATAAGTTTTCTTGACAGTTTTGATGGTTTAAAGGGTGGCTGCGAGTTGCCAAATCTGTGTTTTGGTAATCAGGAGATTTTCTGTAAAGAACTAGGAGAAAAAAGTAGTTTGGATCACAGGCCATGGATTTGATATTTTAATCAATGTAATCCTTAAAAGCCGACAGTTCTTTCGAGAGGGCAGTGATTGGATACTTAGTACAGTACTTAAGTACAATCATAGTATATTCTGGTACTGGAGTGCATGTGAACTTAGTACTTTCTAAAACCCTCTATCTTATCGTACTAGCGAAGAAAGCATGTTTATTCACATGAATGAGAGAGTCTTTATGCAGTCTATTTCTATTTGTTTCTTTGACACATGTATGAAGGATAACTATGCATAAGTCATTAAAATATTCAATATGGAATAAAAATCAATGGTTTTCCCAGGTTATTATGGCACGGTCGATTCCGGCCGGAAGTTCAAACGTGTAGGCTCCAGTCATTTCCCGACCGTTTCCTGTGCAATTCCGGCCGGAGTCCGGCGGCTAGGAACGTGCCGGAACTTGCTGGAATCGGCGAAAACTGTGCCGGAATCGAGAAGAGCTGTACCAGAACCGACTCAAATTTCAACGGATCCAGTCGCCGGAATGATCGACGTGGATTCTTTAGTGAAATGCGAAATTTTATTAGTCTCAATGAGACGTAGCTGATAAATAACATCTGGATAAGAACTTCTCGTCAGGCATCACCGTGATTACTTTCAGTATTCATGAATACAAACAATTATTCGTAAGTAAATTGATTAAATAATCAGATTTTGTTTTGGAATATTCGTAGGCGGAATCAACTTCGAAAGCGCGATTATTGTATTATTAAAAAGTACTAAGTACAGATGTACTAGTACGCGTACTCGTTCAATCGCCGCAAGAGACCATCGATATGGGTGCAGTAGAATTCACTGATAAAAATTTTCGTAGAATGATAAACCCTCAAAAAAGGGTTTATAACTGAAAAATTCGTTTATCAACGTGATCTACCCCTTGGTCAACCCTTTTTTTCTTGATAAACCCCAAAAAGGTATATTATCCGTTGCAAACTGATAAACCCAACAGTTTATTGTCTCTTGATAATCCCTTTTCTCGTTGATCAACTGGATCAAGTCTAATTGATAGGTTTCTTGAAAATGATGCTAAGATCTGAGTTTGAGGGTTGATTCAGTTGATCAACGGGAAAAGGGTTTATCAAGAAAAACAGGGTTGATCAAGGGGTAGATCACGTTGATAAACGAATTTTTCAGTTATAAACCCTTTTTTTGAGGGTTTATCATTCTACGAAAATTTTTATCAGTGAACGCGTAATAAATACAAGTAACGCTCATCCTTTGGATTCGCTGGCTCTTTTCTGAAAGACTTTTCCCAATGCTGAACACATTCAGAGACTTTGAAAGAGAAAAAGCGCACTGCGATCGCTACTAGTTCTCAACTGAAGAGTAGCTGCCTAATTCGACCTATAATATAAGTGACCAATTCCTATCACCCTTAGGAATAGAAATAGATTTAGTTTTACTTATACACCCACACCCATACCCACCCTCCGTATTGTTGAAAGTGGTCTGAGTATTACCGTCAGAAGGTACAACAAAAGGATTAGACGTCTAAAACTATTTTAAGAACTACACAGCGTTTTTGCTAATGTCGATTATCGCAGCAGATGAACGTAATATCTAAGTAAGTTCACAAATCTAGCACGACTTTATCGAAACTTATTATTTGCTATTTAGAGCTTCTCTCCACTTTCTTCTATGTGTAACCAAAGCTTACTTGAAGATTTCGGTTGAGTGGTTGGCTTGCTTTCTAAGACCAATTTCTCAGCAAATTTTGCTGGTAGATCAGTTTTCGTAGCTTTCTCAGCTGGCTTAGATTTTATTATTGATTTTGGCACGGAAACTGGTTCAATAAGAGGATACGCTGGATCTATCTCTTCAAGCTGTATTATATGAAGTCCATTGCCGGAGTCGAGCCAACCTTTTACAGTAAATTGTCTAGCTGGCAGGAGAAGGATTTCATCTTCGGACGGTATGAATGAATGGTTCTTAATATTTTTACCAGTATGACAGTCGATTTGAAACAGAGTTCTGGTTCCAGATTTACCAAAAAATTGCTCATTTTCAAGCACTTCGATAGATGAAGTGCACGACGAAAAACCCCACCAAATAAAACTTGCACCTCTCGGATATTGTGCTCTTAGATCTTCTCTGACGCCTCGGTTGACAAAGCAACGCTCTGAGCGAAGCCGAGCCAACGCTGTTAATATGAGACGCAAGTAAAGAAACCAAGGAGTTAGTTTTTTTCGTTGTTCAGAGCGTAGAGTTGCGTTTAAAATAATATAGAGAGAATTCTCCTGCGGCATCGACTCGTACGTATAGAGCATGATGGAAGCAGATTCGTCAGTCGTCAGATTATCTTCTGGCTCCTGACAATTCTGCTTCACAATAAATACATTACGTTCAATCTTGGGTACGATGTCTATAAGAGGTTTCACAGCTTCTTCCAGGGTTACGATGGGCATATTTTCAAAACCTTCAATTGGTGCCAGCATCCGTTTTGGTAATTTGCCTAGATCACCAAAGCGCAGACCAGACGATTTTTCGACATAATTAGAAGCCATCTGAAATAGAAGATATGTAATGTAAAAAACATATTCCATAAACACAAAATTTCATTTCTATTCCTAATTCCTAAAGTGACTTACAAGAGGTAAATTTCTTACTAAATCAAATCAATTCCTACCGGAAAATATGGATGCGGCTTGGAAGAAACCGTAATCATTACAAAAATGTGATTTAATGGAAATAGGAGGACGAATTGAAGCAAGAGAGGGGAGGGCGTAGGTATATACTCTTGACTTACATCTACACCCTCAAGATGAGAAAAGTTCATTTGAAATTGGTATTAGTGTATTTTGCACGAGGGAACAGGCAAACTTGAAGTACAAAAGTTGTTCAAAGTATGTAGAAGTAGCTGAAAGTCCGTGAAACTACTGTCGTAATTTTTAAAGAACGCTGATTGATGAAAAGTATATAGCTTCTGGACGGAAAGTCGTAGCGACCTCTCCAGCTATCTTCTGAGAGCAGCTGTACTCTACAATATTCAGGACATATTAGCGAATACTTAAAGGGGGCATTTGTTTCTCAGAGTATATACCCTCACCCACACCCTCAAGATATGTTACGCGAGAATGAAAGAAGAAAAAATAAGATATATGTAGGAAAATTGTTTTAGCGTTTTCTTTTGGAAACACATTATCGGCTTTAGATAAAGTATTTATTCATCATGCCAAAAGATCATGAATTTTCTCAGGAAGTAAGACAATTCTGTCGAAAATGAAAAAAAATGGTCCTGTAATCCTTCTCTACAATGTAACCGGTCGTCTTATGAAAATATAAGATATTTCTAAACGATCAGTCCGCAACTTAAAGCAAGAATTACACCAGTTAAGAGAGAAAGAGATAGATGAACAACAACGGCAAGAAACAACAAGTCAAAGTGAAATAGATTTAAACGTTAAAGATCTTCGTAGTCGCACCATCTTGCTGCCAATGTTCAAACACCGTCAGTCTTCAAGATCTAATCTACCAACGGAAATTCTTTCTCGTCGACATACTACGCCGGCTGTTTCTTTATCAAATAAAATCAATCTACCTTGTTCTCAGGCATTGTCTCCTCAGAAGAAAAGTAAAAGGTTTATTCGATTAGTTAAACAGGAAAAGGTCGATTGTTCTTCTAGGGAATTCTGGGCATCGAAAGTTCATTCTATCGGAACATGGAGAAGATAATGATTAGAGTTGAACTTCATAAATTAATTCAAGAAAGAGTACATTCAATTTCTGAGCAATTATTAAAAAGTTTGGACAAGCTACACGAAGACTTTCCTATTCGTTCTGCAAGTACATTACGTAAAATATTGAAAAGTGTAAGTGAAGTGTTTGCTCTGACGTGTACAAGATAGAAAAGAACATACCAAGCTGCTTTTTTTTCATTCCTTAGCTTTATTTCATTTATCAACGAGCATCTACAGTAAAATTCCGTTAGATTCAAAAGTTTCTGTAGCAGCAAGAACGAAGTATTTTCAAGCTGTTGACGAATTAGGATAAGGAAAAGTGCATTTGTATTATCAAGGTGAAACGTGGTTGAACCTTTCACAGGTTAAAAGATTCATTTGGACTTCAGAAGCCAAATGAGGAATTAAAAAAGAGGAGGATCAGGCAACTTGTGACGTCAATTATAAACCATTCTCTCACACATTATTACTTTTCTCATTTATAGGATCTCGTTTGGCGATGTCTGCACTTATAAGCGTTGAAGGTTATCAACTTTCATCAGTTGATATTTGGTCGTGCACTGAAGACCATAATATGGATTTAGCGCATTTTCTTTCCTGGCTAGATTCAACTTGTGCACGACTAGGAGAGGAAATTGGTGAGTTAACACATTCTAAACCGAATTTTCGATGATTGATATTTTAAACAGTTTTATAGGTGAAAAGGAATGGATTACTATTTGTTTGGACAACGAAACATGGCACAGTAAACTCGTTGAGTTTTTCGAACCCTGTTTTTCCTCTTTATTTTGTTGGATGAAGCGATCGTACCCATGTCGAAAGATCCGGCCCGGAACCGCCAGGTGCCAGATTTTTCCGTACATTTCATGGAAGCAAGATTCCAGACCGCATTCAACCGGAAAAATCCGCGCGGATCCGGTACTGACCAAACGGAAAAGTAGGGACGCCCCATCTAAACATCCGTAATATTCCCACGTACCATAACCTGACGGAAATTCCCAAAACCGAACAAATGCGAAAAAATCACTAAACGCACCAGTCGAACGCAAGCACAACAAAAGATCCCGTACTAACAGAAAACCTATGATCCTGTACCATCCGAATCTATATTCGCAACAGCAAAAGACAAACCACTACAAACCTTTCAAGGATCTGCAACTAGCTCCACGTGACTAACACAATAAATTGCCCTACTGACCATTAAACTACACTACTATCGTCAACTTACGAACTACAAAAAAACGTGGATTCAAGGTTTAAACCGTGGCTTGCAATCTGATTAGCAATCCAAAAAAATAACTTATACGTCTCCAAGTGACTTTTTGGTTCAAGATTGTAATCTGGATTGTAATCGGATTGCCAATCCTTAAAAATAACTTATGCATTTAGAACTGACTTTTTTGTTCAGGATTGCAATCGGATTGCTAATCCTTGAAACTGGGTTGTCCAGGGTATGTAGTTTTTAGGTCAGTGTTTGTAGGAAGTTTGAGAATAATAGCGGGAAGAAGTTGGAAAAGATGGGATTTGTAGTTTTATGTTTGTTCACGATTGATTACGTTTCGCCGGTTTAGATGGGTGCTTTCCAGTTATCTGCAGTTCTTAGTTTAAGGGAAAGGTTGGATACTGGGTGTGGTGCGGGAAGAGCAGGGATTTTTTAGGAAATATGCGGGAAATTTGTTTGGGATTGCAGTATTTTTTGTTTCCGTAGGGTTATGTGCGGACCCGGCTGTTTTATGTGAGATTATTTTTAATCGGATTTTTTGGGGCATTAATGTTTTCCATGAGGATGCGAGGGGAACCGGTCGACGGATTTAGTAGGAATATCAGGGATCCGGTTCCGGGGAATTCCGGTCTGGAACACTGCTTCAACATTCCTATAGCTTTCCGTCGGGAACCTTTCGGATACGACGAGAACGGGTCGGAATGAGCCGGAAAAGGGCTGCCTTCCCGTCGGCTCCGATTGTATCCGGAGACCGGAACGTTCGTCCTGGAATACGCATTAGAAATTACTCGTTTTCCAAATTTGCACTGTAGTCTCAATCCAATCAAACTCTCATGGAATAATCCTAAACAGTTTGTTCGTGATCGAAATACAACATTTCTTCAAGATGACGTAAAACAATTGATTGAGCAGTTTAGGATACCAATAAACGATAAACTTGCAAGCGTACCCTTTTCATCATGTTTATAAAGTTGAAGAGATGCATAAAGCAACAGATGAAATAATGAAAGCAGAGATTAAACCTCATTTACAATCTGCCAGTGAAGAAACAGATTCTGATGACAATGAGAAAACTATGGAACACTAGTTCTTTTTGTTTTTGTACTTCTTTCAAAGTTCAGTTTATTTTCAGAACAGACAATAAAATCTCTGTTGTTCTAACAGGCTGGCTTGAAAAAAAAACGATAAAATCAAGTCGACCGTAATGAATGCAGATTCTGCTTATCAGACGAACTCAACAGTAAGCATTTTCATTTGTTTGTGCTCATGAGCTCTGTGTAGAACTACAATTCCATAACCAAATAAATTCATTTCTGTCGATTAGCATAATCGAAAACCTATATTCGAAGTATTCTTTTGTTTTTCAGTGAAAGAAGTCTACTGCATGGAATTACTCTGTTAAAAGCTGTAGGATCTCTGAATGAACCAAAATTCAGAAATTGCTTAGATACTATTTTGACGAGGGCATGGACGAGGGTATATACCCTGAGGAAAAAATCCCCTTAAAAGTTCGCTCATATGTCCTTAGTTTTGTAGATTACAACTGCTCTCAATAATTAGCCAAAAGTGGCTGAAAGTATGTACAAGTAACGCTCATCCTATGGATTCCCCAGCCCTTTTCTGAAAGAATTGTTCTACTGCTGAACATATTTAGATACATTGAAAAACAAGTAGGATACTGTGTCCCGCACGAGAATTAATACAAGACAAAGATTTTTCGTGTTTCATGAACCGAACCAATTATATCTTTGTCAAGGAATAGTTTCGAAGTACTAGCTATGTTCATTAAAAACTCCATCACTTAATAGTTAGTTATTCGTGGGCCTCCTCTCCCGACCAGTAACTCATGGCTACACATTAATCTTTATACTCTGTTTTCTGACTTTCACATTATATACATTGAAGGTTTTTTCTAGACACTTTACCAAGTTGCTCACAAAAAAAAACGATGCATAATCGTCGACTTGCTAAGCTTGCATGTTAGCCTGTAATTTCTAGCTAACAATTGATTCTTTTCTGTATTTTAACGAAAATGACACTCTGTTGAATATTTTCATGAAGGAACATTAATTGAATCCCTTTTAAAAATCTTTCTTCAAGTATGATAAGGTTGTTCCAAATGTATACTCTAAAGTTAATCTGGGACGCTAACGCCTAGTCGTTCGTCGGCCTACCTCCAGTCGGCCACTCATAGCTAGCCGTTGATACCTATCAAAGTTATAAGATATTTTCGCATAAAAAAAGCACTTCGTTCCTACCGACCCGGCCTGGAACGGAAGTTCTCAAAATTCTTCATATCCGTGTGACCTACAGCACATTTTTTATTGTTTTCTTCAATTCAAGGAGTTAATAATACGCGGGGTTTATTCTCGAGGCTCGAAGAAACATCGATTTTATTCCTTCGAAAAATTCCGGGCACTGGGGAGACTCTTATAAATCTCGCCTTTAAAGTAATTTCCAAAATTGACGCCTAGTCATTGGTCGACCTCCTTACTGTCCGTCACTCACAGCTAGCCGTTATCTGTATAGTTAATAAGATACAATTACACTGACGAGTATACGTTTTGGAGATCTATTTCCCGTAAAATTCTATCGAAAGACCTCA